TTTCGTACAATTTCGCCATTAAGCTTCTTCCTTTAATGGCGACAACGACTATTTCTTCCTTCTCTCTCTCTCTTCCTCGACCTATCCGTAATAAACCCACAAGCCCTTCTCCATTCCTCTTCGTTCTTCCTCGATTCAATTACCTTCGGAGATTTCGGACTCTTACTCTCACTGCTTCCGCTGCAACTTCTTCAAACAGCAGTAATCGTGACGATGGCTTCTCTCTCGACGATTTCACACTCCATTCTGATTCTCGATCACCTAACCTATATAAGGTTTTGCCTCACTTTTCTTCTTAAATCTCTGTTTTTTTTCGTGATGGAAATTTGAAATTGGTTTTTGTGTTTAAGAAATGCATACTTGCAGATCTTATCCAAGAGATAGAACCATTAGATGTGAGTCTAATTCAAAAGGATGTTCCAGTCACAACTTTGGATGCAATGAAAAGAACAATCTCAGGAATGTTGGGTCTTCTTCCATCTGATAGGTTTCAAGTTCATATCGAATCGCTTTGGGAACCTTTGTCCAAGCTATTGGTATCTTCTATGATGACTGGGTATGTTCATCAATACTCCTTCATTCGTAATCGCAGTTTTTGTACTGTTTTGTTTAGCTTCCAATTAGTTAGGGCAAGAGAATCACTCTTCTTTCAATGTTGTGATGTTGCTCTGCACAATTTTCCCTTCTTCATTTATAAACGCAGCAAGCTTGCAAGAAAGCGAAATTTGAAATGTATGATCATCGAAAGAACCATACGTAGCTAAGGTTTTATCGTGAAAGTTGATTCATTTCGTAGCAGTTCAGGTGACGCTTTAGTACAGCTTGTCCTGAAGCATCGATATCTCTAAATATTCAAATTACTTAGCTGCTTTTTATGATACTACATAGGTGGCTTGTTCGCTCTCAATCTTTCTCCTTAGGTGTTGATAGGTCCTGTTTTACTAAATTAGCTAGTACGTATTAGTGGTATATTGATAGGCCAAGAGAAGCTGCTGATTTTTCAGGATAACGAAGAAGAAGTAGTTAGAATCTTTATTTATATTAGTAGTATGTAGAGATTATAAGTTTGTTGGGGAGGTTGAGGGAAGGCACCTGAAACATTTCCGTTCGTTTTTGAAAGAGCATTTATTCAGTTCAGTCATTTAGTAGAACAGTTCTACTATCATTTACTTTGATAGCTATAGCTTTAAACCCATCATATGTCTCTCTTAAAATGGGAGAATACTAGTACATCTGTCTGAAGTTTTGCTACTCTGCAGGTATACATTGAGGAATGCTGAATATCGGCTTTTTCTTGAAAAGAACCTCGACTTGCATGGTGAAGACTTGGAAAGCCAAACTCCAGAAAATACTGATTACGATTTGAAAGGGAGGTTTCCTGATGATAAAGAACTGGATGAGATTTTCGACGAAAATAATGTTTCATCCACAAAGGATAGCAAAACTCAGAGCCTTTCTGAAATGTTTGATAAAGAAGGTCTGGGCAGAGTATCCTCTGAAGCTCAAGAATTTATCTTTCGTTTGCAGTCACAATTGTCTTCTGTGAAAAAGGTGCAGTTTCTAATGTAAAATCTTTTATTTTTATTAAGCATGATGATCAAAATGTCGTCAGACAGATGTCAGTGACGTCACTAGGAACTTAGTTTTGTAGATCTGTTATGAGTTCTGCTGCAATCCAGCTCGTCCTGTCTTTTGCTAATATTTTTGGTTAAGACTCATATGTTATGATGTTGCTGCATTACAGGAATTACAAGAAGCGAGGCGAAAAAATGCTGCCCTTCAAATGCAACAGTTTGTTGGTGAAGAGAAGAATGATTTGCTAGACTATTTAAGATCTTTGGAACCTGAGAAGGTTTGCGTTAACATCCCTGAAGTCATGTTCCAGCTCTTGTGATATTTTTGCGTATCTTTCTGGTTCTCTGACCATCCAAACAATATTCTTATCAGGTAGCTGAGTTGTCAGAACCCGCTTCTCCGGAGGTGAAAGAGACAATTCATTCTGTTGTTCACGGTCTTCTCGCAACTCTATCACCGAAGATGCACTCCAAGTTACCAGCATCAGAAGGTCCACCTACTGAAACAGTAAAAGCAAAAAGTGATGAAGATTGGGCTGAACTTGTAGAAAACACTTCACTTCAGTTCCAGCCTCTTATCTCACTGACTCGAGACTACCTTGCTCGTCTTCTCTTCTGGTTAGAA